TATATAGACCTGCCTCATGTATAGCTCCATGTATAAGTCGAAAGAGCTAGGAGCGAAAGAATAAACTTAAAAACCGTTTGATCATCAGAGTACCAGGCACACATTTTCCTGTTCACTTAAGCTAAAGAGTATTTGATCCCACAAACGTTACTGAATGAAACCTTCTGAGCAGAGAAAGATGCTACAACCACACCAACTGCACACAAACACACAATACTCACCCATACCCTCACTCAAAGCACACAAGCACACTAATACCTGTGGCTTTCTTTGGTATCGGCATAGTCTTCTCCGTCGGCGCCTTCTGCGCACTCGGGGCGTTATCGCTCACAACCTCATCCATCGGGTCGGCCGTGTCTGCATGTACCACCCGCACACTACCACTCGCCTGCCCCACACCTGACTCCTCGCTCAATTGCACACTCTTGCCAGGGCCTTGTTTCTGTTCCGTTGGCTGTGTTGGGGCTGGCGTATGTGTCTGCGTGTGTGTGTCTTGCTGTGTGTGTGTATGTGCGTCTGCGTGTACATCCCGTGGTGTGTCGGTCTTCTCAGTCACCGAACTGGCCACACTCGGCTGAGCAGAGTCGTGTGCGGCTGGCTCCTTCTCACTCACTCGCTCCATCTTCGGCTGTGGGGTATCTGTAGAGTCGTCCTGGGTCTGTGTCTGTGTCTGTGTCTGTGTAGGTTGGTCAATGCCAGCTTGGTCAGCTGCGACAACCTCCTCTGTGTAGGCATCGGGTACATCTGTGGCAGTTCCCGGTGTAGCGTCTGCAGTACTTTGGGTGGGTGGGACGTGCGGTGGTTGCGGAGATACCTGCTCTGTCTCGCCCACCAGGTTGTCTAGCACATACTTAGTGTCCTGCTCAACATTCTCCTTACTATCCATAGGCACAGCCTCCTCTTCCTTTCCTACGTTCCCATCAGTATCTAATGCATCGGTAGGTATCTGGCCTGCAGTAGATATACTGGTATGGTCTACGACAACTGTATCCGAGATCTGCGCTACTACAGATGTAGCGTCGGGTGTACTACGATCTGCTCGCGTTGAACTATCTGTACTTGGTTCCTGTACAGAAGTATCCACGCTGCTTGTTTGTGTGTCAGTGTCCACCGCATTTATAGTATCCACGTTTTGCACACTTTCCGATACGTCTGTAGTATTGTGTATATCCATATCCATCGCCTCTGCCTCATCCTCTCGCCTTACCCTCTGATCTTCTAACACACCAACAACCTCCTCAGACTCATCTTTGTGTGCATCCACATCGTGAATAACCGGTTCATTTGATACAGACTCCCCGTGCGTCTGTGTACTATCGCTTGCATCGTGTGTCTGTGGTTGTTCAACTGTGTTGTCTGTTGTTTGCTTTGCATCCGAGATATTGCCAGGGGTATTCTCAGATTGTTCACCACCCACTTCACTGTCGCTGGCATATGTTGCATTAGCTTCCATATCGTTGGTTTCATCGGCCGATCCCATAGTGCATACACTGTTATTATCACACAGATTGTACTACATTAATTTATATATATGTACGT